CCCCACACACAGGGGCTGCTGCCAGCTGTGCAGGTAGTCCAGCTCAGTCCATGCTTGTGCCAGGTGTGGGACCAAATCCTACTGCAGCTCTGCAATTTGAAAAGCAGTAGGAGCGGGGCAGCAAGCCCCCATGGCTCCTAACGTCCTTTTAAATTGCAGAGCTGCAGCAGTGTTTGGTCCTGCCCCCAGCACGAGCCGGGAATGAGCCAGGCTGCCTATTGACCAATCGAGTAGTTAAATGCCCACCTCTTAACATCCTTAATTCTGTATACATTTTTTAAACTATCAAAGCTCTGGATGAATCATATCTCTGTCATGCCCAGTGCATCTTACTCTTTAATTTGATCCCACAGCTACTTAGCTAAGTCAATACTGAACTGGGTCATTATCATTTTCATACCAACATGAGATGCCCTAAACTCAGGATTAATACTTTGACAGAATCAAGCTGGAGATACTGTTCTGGGAGGAGGAAAATATTTATAAAATAAATGCTTTGAGTTAAAGCAAAAGGAGCAGAACATATTGGTCAGGAAAATGTTTATATGACTTTTTTCCTTCAGGTTGGAAGCACTCAGCCTAATTTCTCTTTCAAATTCACACCATAGAATTATCACTCTGCAGGTAGTAAGGGTATCCTCAATCTGCAATAGATTTTATTGGCAGTCTTTCACGATCTCTAGGGAGCAAGGTCACTATCATTGTGCCTTCTGGGTTTTCACCCATCTGCAAAGTAGGACAATTTGTTTGTTCTCACTTAACCTTAGTTAAAATGGCTAGTTCTCTAAGGCTATGTCTAGACTGCAAGCCTCTTTCGAAAGTATCTTTCGAAAAAGCCTCTTTCGAAAGAGCGCGTCTAGACTACAATACACGGATAGGAAAATCGATCCGCTTTTTCGAAAAAGAGCGTCCTGACTGCTGGACGCTCTTTCGAAATTAAAAGCCACCCGGAACCGCTTCTGCCTGGGCATGGGGGCAGCATTTCCTTCCGGGTGCTGCTGCCTGCCCTTTGCAGAGACGCGTGGTTAAAGGGACGCCCCTGAACACCCATTGCTCTGCTTCTGCAGCTGCCTTTGCTGTCCCTCTAGGAGGGAAGCAAGGCATTGCAGTGCTGGTTTGGAGTGCTCAGCTTCCTGGGACACCCCAGCAGGTTTTTTGTGTGGAGGCTTTTCTGTTTTAGTCCCATTTTTTTGGCATGGAGCCAGAGCTGCCCCTGGGCAGGCGATGGCCCCACGCCATCATACTGCAAGTGTTGCTGCATCTGCATGACACAGTCATGAGGCTACTTCCCCATCTGGACCCAGACCAAAGGTACGAAGGGATCGTCCGTCATGCAGCCCCACTGCCCTTGCCTCCAAACTTCTTTGTGGACAGGCATTTTTGGAGGCTTGACACCAGCTCTGACTGGTGGGACCGGCTCGTTATGCAGCTCTGGGATGACCAAGAATGGCTACGCAACTTCCGGATGCGAAAGACCACTTTCCAGGAGCTGTGTACCTGGCTCACCCCTGCTCTGCAACAGCAAGACACCCACCTGCGGCCCGCTATCCCCGTGGAAAAGAGGGTCGCCATTGCCCTCGGGAAGCTGGCA